ACTCACAGATTAGATTACTATCGTTTTTTTTTTTTCTTGCTTAAAGAAGGGTTTGGAATAAAAATAGGTTTGATTACATGGTTTTACAAAACTAAACCTATTGGAATGTAATGGAATACCAGTGTGCAGTTTATAGAATGACGGAGAATACTGTAGGATGTTGTATAGTTGGTTACAGTTTCCTTATCTTTTTGACGATAGTTGGTCTTACATGTATAAGTAAAAGATACACTTGACGTCAGTGATCTTATCGGTGTGCTTTATTTTAAAGATCTTGTTTTAATGCACCGTATACGATGTATACGCAAGCAGCCATATTTGCTCATTAAATATGCAGGCTCTGCTTTCTGCTCTGCAGCAGTACACAGTGGTTGTGCTTTACTACTCCCTCTCACATTGAGAGCCCATGGCTCTGCCAACCCAAGTAAAAGCTATGTATTTTATGCAGCTGATATAATTTCTCAACAGTTGTTTAGCAGGGAGGCAGAGTGATTGCACTGAAATATGGTACTTCATCTAGTGGCTAATCTGCAGATCTCTATTTGTATAAAATAATTTAAAAAAGTACTAGTAGGCAAAAATGTGAAGGTTAAATCAAAGATTACTGGAATAGTTCAAAACATGTGACCACGGAAAAGTGCTATACTTTCCCTTTAATGAATATAATCCAGAATACATTTAGGGAGCTGAAATTGAGATGTATGGGTATTGTGAGATGCAGAAAGCTGCTTACAATAGATGGATGGGTGGTACAATGGTGCTGAACTCATACAATGGAGTAACACATGTATCTAGGACAATTAGTGGATGCAGATTAAGCTTTTTTTTCCTTTAGTACCAGGATATTGTGATGGACAACATACAAGTCAAAGCTCTATTCATGAACAGTTCTTAAATAGACAATACTAAGAAAGAAATGTATAACTCAGGGTAATTCTAACTCTTTGTGGTGGGGGGGAAATTACATTTCTTTGTAAGTATATCTGAACATGGGGAGACATTGCATTGCCATATTTGGGCTTTCTAAATGACACATCCAGAAATTACCAGTAAATTATAATTTTTAAAATTTGGATAGCGAGAAAAATGTAAAGTCTTAATTTCTGTCCGTGTTCCCCACTGGAAAGAGTTTCTCCCAATTCCTAAGTTGTCACCAGGACAGGAGGTGAGTAGAAACTTCTTAAAATGAGGACACAGACAGAAATAAAATAACTTTACTTTGTAGCGTATATTAGACATGTCTCACTGTAGTCAAAGACCTACAGGGTTATTCACAAAAGGGTGAAGAGTTTAGAGAAGGCAGGAGAAGTGAACAATCTAGGACAACATGGCTGAACTGGAAAGTGAGGTGAATTGGATAATTTTTCCATATCAGCTATGTTGTCCTAGATTGTTCACTTCTCCAAACTCTTCACTTTTTTGTGAGTAACCCTGCTAGTCATAGACAATTTAGAATTGTTGAAACCTTGCTGTAGCCAAACAATATTTTAGCAAGGAAAAAACTTAAAAAAATGTAGATGTTAGCCACCATCTTTGATGTCTGAAAGTGCTTGCAAGAACAATTAATCCCTCTGCTAATTTATGAACCTGCTGCACAGTGTTAATGAAATATTGCAAGACTTCAGTTGACAAGAAGAAGGTTACTTTTGTTAATGGTAACAATTAACTGATACACTATACCATTCCTGTAATTTCCTGATCTTATTTATACAATGAAATAAATGACTTAAATATGTGAAAATGTTCTAAATCAGCAAACCTCAGGAGCCCCCTTCAAAGCCTCTAGATTAGAATGTACAGTGTTTATGGTACTGGACTCAAATATGGCCATAAATCACCAGTGCAATTGTTAGTCTATGGTGAAAAATTATTTATAAATTGGTTTTAAATATTATTTTTTTTGATCTTCAACAGCTACATCCAATGGCTCAGTAGAGGGTGTGGATAACAAGGAAGGAGGAGTGTGTGTTACTAAAGCCATGAAGATCCTTATGAAAGTTGGTCAAGGTAAGGAATAATATAAAACATTGCTTGATTTATCAAGAAGAATGTTATTACCAGTTCTGAGCAGAAGCATACAAAAAACAAATACAACACGGTTCTTTTTATTTATTGGAAAGTAAACCTTCCTACAACAAAGTTAATGCTCTACCTATATGCTGTAAAACTGGGCAATGGATACATCCCGATGTTCTGTCTTGTTTGCTTGACTCTCAACAAAAGGAAACAAGAAAAAAACTTATGGCGCTATAATTAGCCTATGATTAGGCACTACCATTTTCAGTATGTTTAGTAACGTGTGCTGTGGTTGCAAAGTTGATTGATTCTTTATGGTGGCAAAACACCAGGTTAAGGGTATTACAACAGATTCAAGTTACTTTTTGCATGCAAGTTACTTTCATGTATGCTCTGCTGCAAATAACTACTTTGCCTACGATATATAACTTTTCCAATGTAAGGAGTGTATGACATCTGATTTAACTCTTTAATCATATCAATGAACTATATTAAAATTGATAATGCTTTAAAAATGCATTACTTTAGGCTAAGGTAGATGTTTAGTTGTCTTCATCAGTTGAGTTTAGTTATGCTGTAAAGTTCAACAAAATACAAAATATCTCAATATTTACTTTAAATCTACATGCAAATTTATTTTGCTGGACACCCATTGTCAGATCAAATCTAAATTTACCTAACACTGTGCACTTTGACGTTCTTTTGCCTTAATATAAGCAGAAACAATTGTTTAGGTATGCACTTTGTTGGTATGACAGCTCAAATGTAAAACAAAATCTATCTATCTATCTATCTGTGTGTGTGTATGTGTGTATGTGTATATATATATATA